TGTTTTTTAGTGTGCATATGTTCTATATCATAGCGAAGTTTTTGTGGTACGTTCAGTCATCACTTCTTGCAAGATCTTGAAGAACATACAACAAGATTTAAAAAAATATGTTCTTGTTCAATCTTGTTAGATCATATAATAAGATTTCACAAGATTTTTTTAAAAGGTCTTTCTATGAGATTCTGTAAGATCTTACTCGATGATCTTATTACAAAGTTTTATAAGAAACGTAAGCTATCAATATAGTCTGTGATTCTAACTCGAGTCAGCTTCCGCTAGAATTTGAGCGAATAACGGTCCAGTAGCGGTACGACAAAGCCTACCAGATATAATTGTTCAATAACCTAATAGTTCATAGATCTTGCAAGAGCTATTTCATCTGGGTGCCGATGAATATCAAATGAATGCGACTGTTGTCTACAAAATGTTTTCCTCTTACCGTAGTTCATCTAATTTATGCTTCTTGATACCATCTAATTTCAATCGTCTTATTCTTGCTTCATCATCTAATCTCGCACCTTCATCAAAGAAGGCAGTACGATCTTCGACTTTTTGTTTTTCGTTAGTGACAATCTGATTACGTAATTCATCAGCATAACGATTGCGTTTTGATAAACGATTTAATTCCACACCACGCTCTTTTTCGGCTAATTCCAGTTGAGCTCTAAAAACCACAAAATATACTGACAAGAATTATGATATAAAACAAAGCCACGGAGAAGTGTGTAAAGAAGAGAAGCTAATTGGGTACCTAAATACGGCTATAACGGCTTACCTTAACACACGTTCAAATTCAGCTCGTTCTCGCGCTGCTTCAACGGCTAAATGTTGTTCTTTGTTTTTCACCTGCCATTCTCTTGCCATTTTCATTTCATCTTCATTCATTTTCTTCTTTAATGTGTCCATTTTTTCACGCTCACGCCACTCACGTTCGCGTCTCTCTTGCTCACGTTTTGCTCTCAAGGCATCCTACATATATATATTCAAAAATTTCATTTTAATTAATTTTTTATTCTAGGATTAGTCCAAGATCATACTTTTTCTGCTTGTAAATCCCTTGCTCGCTCTTGTTGTGCTCTTAATCTTGCCACTTCTCGCTCTTTTTCCGATCGTTTCCGTTCTATTTCTGCTTCTTGAGCTGCTTCTCTTGCTGCTTTCGCTCGTTGAAATTCCAACACCGCTAAATCAGCAATACGATCTTGTTCTTTGCGTAAAACACGATTTTCCTCTATTTCACGATTTGCTGCTAATAAATCGGTCTGAAATAAGATATCAGCATGAATAAAACATTTACAACCACCAGGGTTCTATCGATTGTTATATCTAAAACGCAAAGCTCGATATTTTTTTAGCGCACTTTCGTCAATGTGTTAGTTCATTCACCAAAATGTTTTATCAAAAATGAAATATGATTTTGTTACTCAAAAATCTTACCGCTAGTTTTTTTTGTCCTTCTTTTTTCTTCGAAAATTCTTCCCAATCTTTTTCTTGTAATTTTTGCATGTAATCGATCATCGCTTGATTTTCTTGCTCACGAATTTCTTCTTTAAACACTTTTTCTTTATCATTCTCTTCAATTTGTTTCAATATTAAACTCGCACCTCTAAAATATGATAAGTAATCAACAAATAAGATATCTATAATTAGATTAAGTTCTCACAAAACAAAAGACATACTCTTTCGCTTGTAGATGTCGACGTTTTTCAATTTCTTCCTGTATTTTTAATGCGTTTAATCGTTCAATTTCCATCATTATATCTAAACGTTTATCTTCATCTTTCATCTCTTTTTTAACTTGTTGTTTTTCAAGTATTTGGGCATCCCGAATCGCATGACACTTGGCATTTAAAATTAGCTAAAAAGAAAAAAACTGAATATTTAGAAATATTTGCGCATCACAATGTATGTTTCAGAGCTCTATATGGACCAAACGTAGTCTATTGTCAGTCCATAGAATGGACTCGAAAATTGCTGAAATCCGTGGATTCAAACACTACCAGTATTGATGGTATGTAATCAAAATGTACAAAAAGCTGTAAGAACGTTATTTCTTCATGAAATTTGTACATATAACCCATGTAAATTTTTTCGAGTCGTAGACGCGTCTGAAAACGCGTTTTATCCTGCGTTTAAGTCGCTCAAATATGCACCCTTTTGGTGCGACTAGACGCGTTTTATCCTGACGCGTTTAAACGCGCATGGTGTAGACGCGTCCTAACGCGCTTTTATAGAATATGACGCGTTAAGACGCGTCCAGTACTGGCGCGTCTAAGTACGCCGAATCTGCACCATTTCAGTGCGTCAAGACGCGTTTTATTGTGACGCGTTTAAGCGCGTCACATGGAGACGCGATTTATCTAGACGCGTCTAAGTATGCCGAATCTGCACCATTTCAGTGCGTCAAGACGCGTTTTATTGTGACGCGTTTAAACGCGTTTTCCATGCTTTAATTTTATTTTTAAAAATAAATAATTTCGGTCGAATTTTAACTCCTGTAGCAGCTCAGACTTTTTTCTAGCGAGGAGAGTCGACACATTAGAGAGAAGTCTGACGTACGAGAAATAAGTGCATAATATTGATGATGCCGTCGGTGAGATTCGAACTTGGTACCTATGAACAGAAAGATAAATTACAAAGCAAGTTACTTACCCACTCAGTCACATGAGCTTACAACTTGCATTGTTACTTGTCAATGCGTATACATTACATGGACGAAGACAAGTAAAACATGTGAGAAGCTGCTGTAGTTAGGCATGCACCAGTTAAAAACGCCAGTTGGAGCTTCCACGAAAATTATTATAAATCGCCTCTAAAGAACTATTCAGAGTCGCAGAACGTCGCATTTTGTAGAGAAATGTTTGCTCTAGAAACTTCAGCTGTAAAAAAAGCACTTGCAATTATTTCTAACAAAAGTGCGAGCATTCTAAACTGCACTAAAGGTAGGAAAAAACCCTGTTCGAACAGGGTTTTTTCTAAATTTGGTACATTTTAGAATGCTCATGTTTGTACCATAGATAACTTTGAAATTTTTCTACTTATATCGGATTATGGCCCAAACATTTTTTCACAAAATGAGACGTTTCGCGACTCTGAGAAATGTTTCACAGGCGATTTATAACGATTTTCGTGGAAGCCCCAACAGCAGTTTTTAGCTGGTTATTATTACCTAGCTGTAATAATACAAAAAATTGCGCGTGTTATACCATTAAAGGCAGAAAACTGCATTTTTTCTTAAATAGATTACTAATCCGCGATAGTTTGATTGTTTGCTAGGGAATTTTGTGAAAAAGACTGTGAGTTTTAAAACTTAAATTCATTTTCTTTAATTTTCTTGTCAAACTCCGTGAACTCAACCAAGTCACTATAATGTTTATAAACGAGAATTCCACCACATATATTGTAGTTCTCCTAAAAAAATTATTTTGTTTCTTTGCAGGATTCCTTTATTAACTGGCTAAAGCGTTAGTTAAGATAAACAAACTCGTTTTTTCATAGAAGAACACTTTACAACTTTGTAGTGGAACGAACCCACTTTTGAAATGGAAAGTTATTTTCCCAGGCCGTGAAAAATGAGATAAAAAATGAATCATGAATGACTCATTTATGTGCCATATATGGCTCATTTTTAA